CCTCTGCCAGCTGTCTTTGGGGCAAGCTGACATTTTTCATGACATATAAGAAAAGAACCCTAGGAGCATCAGCAAAAGAAGCAAAACAGTTTAGGTGAATCAAAAAGTTGGGAAATTCTTAATATCATCTTAAGATGGGTATCTAGGAACACAAAAAGATCTAGCAAGTAATTCTAAATTCTAAATAATTCACTACTATGTCAAAAACTTTAAGGATCATGTTTGTCTTTATTTTCCTGAGAAGCATGAATGCAGGTTTCATTTTTTTGTCAGAACAGTGACAGTACTATATTTTTCTGCATTCAGTGAAGAAAGTGACAGAATGGTAAGCTCAGCTTTATGTAACAGAAAGTTACTTTTCTCACGAATAACATGCACCATATTTACATTTAAAAAAAAAAAGTGCAGAATATAAGATAAACAATACCTTATCTGCAGAAGTACATCCTATTTTCCACTTTGGAAATAGGACCCAAAATGGGAATAGGAGAAAATTGCCAAAGATACCTACTTCTGACTGGGGACTGAGCCACGACAGAGATTTATATCACACTCATTTTCACACAGAGAATGGCATTTGCATGAGTTATAGCCTTGTCACACAGGAGTAAGAAAGTCAGCAGCTAGCTAAATTCTCACTTGTGGGAGATGTTTGGTTGGCCTGTGGCACCTTATCAGCAGGCAGAAATGGGGTGACATAATGAAAAAATGTCATTCTTCCTGTACCCTGATAAAGCCGAGCAAGAAAAGCAAGGTCTGGTTGCACTGGTGCTCTGAGTCCTCACTTTACCACTGGTATCTTCCCTTTTCAACAGAGTACCTATAGAAGTCTACAGAGAGAAAATGCTCCCTCCACGATCCTGAAAGAATCACCCTTCAAAATAACCTACAGCTTGTAGGGAGAAAGTAGGACTACTGTGCACGGCAGACACTTTCATGCAAAATACTTCCCATGCTTTTCCTTGCGCTGCTCTCACTGCATAACAGCCTTCTTCTATCAAAAAATGTAAAGAGGTCTTTGCAAATTCTACACTTTCATAACCCAAGAATGTCCCTTTCAAAACCAGGACAAAGGTAACTGAGGTACAGGACTCAGAAGAAAACAGCCAGAAATGATCAATGATTGCCATGAGTTATGTTCAAGTTACCTGGATTTTGGATTTGGGCCTGACCAACACAGCAGGTTGGATGATGCCAAACTTATTCATATGGGCGATGTTGTTATGAACAGACCAGCTGACTACTCAGCTGGATTGCCAGACCAGTGCTTAAGCAGAGGCAAATACAGCATAGGATTTCCTGGGGATTAGTGACTGGCTGGGAGTTGATGATAGCCTGATGCACAGGCAGTCATTAATCTTAATCCTCAGGAAATGATCTGTATCAGGGTCATTATTTCTGTAATAAGATAAAAGCAAACAAAAACCTAATGTCATACCGATATTTATATTCTTAATGATCTATGAGCTTTCAATTGTAATGTAAAGTTCATGTCCCGTTAACAAATACCCTACACATTCGCCTGTTAGAGTGGCTGAACTCTTATCTTCTTAGAAGCTTTATGCTGAGACCAAGATTTTGAAGGAGAGAAGCCTTCCTTGTCTAGACTGTTAAATCCACAGCATTACTGCACACCTGCCTGAATACAAAGTGCCAAATATCCAGCAGCTCCAACTGAACTCAGATATTACTCATCTGTCAGAGGTGGGCTGAACATCTTGCAAGCCCACTGATTCTGAAGCATTTACAAGCTGGCTTTCACAAGACAGGCACAAGCCATGCAAAACAACATTTGTGTGGGAAGGGAAAAGGAAGGACAGGTTCACAAATGTATAATTGTATATTGGGATTGCTCTGTTTATCCACATTTTGTGGAAGGTAAATCTTACTCTCTCACTTCATATTATCTTACCTACAATCAAATACATTTTTAAGATGCTTTCAATTCCTGTAGAGGTTGGTTCTGACTTCACGAATGAATTATTCAGAAGTAAGTTTGATGAGCTGGTTTTCTATAAATACATTGAATGTTAATGCAATAATAACAGTGTGTAGGTCAAGCTGACCTTTAATAGTCTCACAGCCTGTTTATACATTCTGTATTGCTTATGCTATCAAGAGAACACAGATGGGACTTCTCTGTCAGCCTTGTAAAGCCCACAGAACTCCAAATGACGGAGCACTCTTTTATGTCCCCATTTCCCTTGCAATTATTCAAGAGAATGTAACAGTGAACTTTATTACTGACTTAAATAGAAAGAAAAGCTTCTTTCAGCAAAATGCAACAACTGGAAATTTAACTTCTAAAGGTAACATTTGATCTGGAAGCTATGAAGAGTCAAGTACAGAGCTCCCAGACTTTATGAATGCTTTTCCAGAGATTGAAAACCCAGTTCACTTGGCTATGACAGCTGTAGGACTGTTGGCATCTATCAGGACTAATGGACCCAACAGTCCAGAAAGAGAGCAAACTCTGAAGAAGCCATCTTATGGAAAGAGGCTGAAAGAAAGTGAGTGCAGGTGACTGAGATGCAGTATGAGGAAGTATATGCTAGTGAAATGTGGAAAAAGGAAATGAGAGGGGGAGGAGGACAGAAGGAGTATGCCCAAGAGCAGGCGGTGCCAGAGTTGCTGTGTATGTGTCAGCTTTGATATACATCTTTCAAACTTTCTTCCTTTGAGAATGGCACTTTGTAATGTTCTCATAAACTGTTCTTTTTCTGCAAATCCAGCAAATACAGCAAATGATGCAATGTTTTTGACTTACTGATCTAAGACATCATCTGGTAGAAATACTGAGGAAATCTGGTAGGTAAATATAGAGCCAAATAAATAATGAATATTTTACAAAGCAGGTACCTATATCCATTATCACACTTTTTTTTTAATTAAATGCAAGATTTAAGTACAATGCCATCCAAATTTATTAGTTAGTATTACCTACCTTGGCCAGCCACAGTAGTTACATCAAACTAAAATACCTTTATTTTTATAGAGGTTTTCAGAACTATCTGAATACTGAATAGTGACTATGGACACTTAAAAGCTCAAAATCTCAGGAAACACTATGAGTGTTCAGTGGAGATATCCAGTATTCCTCATGTCTGCCCTCCAAACTGCCTGCAGCATAAAACATCTTGAAAGCCAAGTATACAAATGAGGTAAAAAGAGCCTCAGAAAAGGTTAATAACCACAATGTGTGACAGAAACATGGGTGGATTTTTTTTTTTTACATTTTTCCTACACATCTGGGCCTATCTATAAAAAGCTAAAATCAGAGTTCCATGTGAAAAGAAACTTTATGGAATTGCACTTTCACACTCCCATGAACTATAATTTGAATTTTGTGAAGTCAGTAAAAGCTTGAAATACTGGCACCTTTGATATTAACACCAACTTAAATGTCTGAACATACCTAGGTTATTTTCCAGTGTTTTCTTGTCCATTTCTTCATGAAAGCTTTTCATTTTAAAAAATATTTTCTGTAAATGTAGGTAGATTTTTTTCCCTTTGTAAATTTTCACTCAGTATGCCAGTTTTAATGAAGTGTACAGATGAACAGATGTCTATGGCCTTGCACTTATTCAAAGGCCACAAGATATTTATATTCCATTTTTTTAAGAACATTAATTCCAGGACACATATAAAAGTTTGGAAAGGAAAAAAGCCATAAACAAATGGTGAAGTATTATGAACAAAGAAACCTTGAAGAAAATGGTACTAGAGTAATTTAAATACAATGTATGCATTGCAAACATCTCTCTTAATCCACATTGATCTCAAGCATTTTACTGGCAAAATGAAGAGCAGGATCAAGTTAGCTCATAAACTTACTCATAATTAATACTTAATTTTCAGAAGTGCTGATCCCCAGGATGAATTTCTGATTTCAAACCCTTTTTGTCCTGCACTGTAGTGAAGGGGGAAGCCTCTGGATCACACTACATGGTGCAAGCTTGCTACAGGGAAAAGTAGAAGAGGTCTTAATGCTAAACGAGTTACATCTGGTAAACAAGTGAAATAGCTTGAGCAGTAGAAAAATACCTGAGAGATGATCTTATTTCTCCATCTCTGTTAGATTCAAATTGAGCTCAAGTCAACAGTTCTAGCCTTATTGTGGTCTTCAATCTGCCATGAATGTTCCTGTGAAGTGCTATATACAGTTTTTGGTCACTGAAGTTTGAAAGGTCTGTCAGTAATATTTTGTGTCTCTTTAGTCCTTCCCAATTCCCTCATAAGTGCTATTTCTCAAGACATTTATTACAGCAGCAAGAAAAGTCCTACAGACACACAAACATCAAATAAACACCTGGCCTTCAATTTTTTTGGATCTCCTACCAGAAGCAGAGAGTCAAATCACCACACAAATACAAAACTATCATGGTTTTCCTGCCAACTTCTCACATCAAAGCAATTGTGGTCTTCCTGCTAATTTCTCAAATAAAAAAATAAATTACATCACTCTTGGATAAAGCAAGCAACCCGTTAACATACATGTAACACACAGATATGTTTGTTGCATTTTTTCTATTGTCAGTGTTAAACCACCTGAAATCAATCCAGCAGAGTCTCATTCTTTTCAGTAGTCCACATGACGAATTATCCAACATTTTGACATTTTTTTTCTGACTTACTAAAATCAAAACTAGGAAAGAAAACAAAAAAAAAACTTCACAAAAGTACAAGGAAATAGAGTTTTTGTAACTTTTATATTACTGCTGAAGCCAGAAGCTGAAAAAAACAGTAGTTATAATATGCATCAACCAAGCAATCAGTTTCAGTTATCCCTGCAACAAACAAGTCTCCTAAGTTGAAAGTCTTGGTGGGAGTATGTATATCACATCATAAGAGTGCAGAACTCTCTCAGGAAATTCAGACACATTCAGAAAGAACTCATGAAAGCAAGAGAAATGCAAAAAACAGTTCCATGGATAGAAGGGAAAAAGAAAACATTTACTTTTGCATCAGAAAACCAAAAAACCCCCAAAAACTAAGCATACCTTCAGCAAGTGGGTCAAGTGTGTGAATCATGAGCTGGAAGATACTGTTCCTCATTAAACTGTTGTGGAGAGATGCAGAGCTTCCTCCCCTCTGGAGACGTGGCTTGGTCTAGGTTGAAAAGTAGGGGAAAGAATTTAGGCATTTTCTGTTGTTTGTGTCGAAAGAGGTCTGAAACAGTATGAATTAATCTCACATGACACTGCACAGTGAAACATTTTCAACTATCACTTGTAGCAGATTATATTAATCTAAATTAATCTACAGAATGTATCAAACATTGCCATAGGTATAGACAATTTCTCTGGACGTGATGGATCACCAGATTAGGTATTAGCTCCCAGGACTCAGGAAAAAAGAATCCTTCTTTGTAAAAACTCATAAAGTATTAAGAAAATAAAAACCTCACACTTGCATAAGGAAGAATGCATAATTTGTTTCTTTGTAGAACATTGTGTTTGAATCCCTGAAGTAAGTTATAATTTTTATTGCCTCAGTACATTGCAAATATGGATACGATCAGAATTATGGAGAAAAAGGGCAGAGAGTACTTTTTTTAATAGTACCCAGTCAGAGTGAAATATGGTCCTTTCTTTGGTTCAATCCATTAAGCACTCACTGCGAAAACAGATTGTGAGTGTGGTAAGGCAGTATAGACATCTACAGAAATGGATCTAATGTAGAAGCATCTTTTCTCTCCTTCTAAAGAAATGTAAAATATACTCTGAGGTTCTTTTCCCCATGCAATTGTCTAGTACAATAATCGATGCCGTTGATATATGCCGTAGAGTAAGACTGCTTCATGACTGGCTGGCTGCTTGTTCCAATAAAAAAGGATAGTGAGAGCCAACAGACTGCTGACTAGTAAGATCCTGAAATCCAATTAGAGGGGAAGAAAACAACACTGAAGAAAACAATATTTTGCAATAATACATGGCACATGGATTAATCTGTGGTGTCATACACATACGAAATGAGAAATTATAGAAACTGAACAAAAAATTTAGTTCAATGCTTTATCTTTGGAAATAAATTATTTAAATTCTATAGCAGCACAGGAAGGGAAAGAAATCCCAGTAATTTAGAAAAATGTTGATGTGTGCCAAACCAAAGTAAGGCTTGCCTCACCACCCTCCAGAGAAACAAATGCTCAGTTGCATAATAAGTGCTGCCTACCGTCAATGTTTGGTCATCCTTGTCTCCAGCATTAGGTGACTGCATGAATGGGAAAAAGAACAAAAAGAAATGTCAGATGGAGCATACATAGAATAGAAAGGCAGTAGAACATCACAGATGTCTGATCCTATGAATGCTGTTTTGATAGGTTTTTGAACCACTCAAATTAAAGCATCCTAGTAATTACGCAAATCAGAGTAAATTCACACTGCAGTGTTGCAGAAGTCTTTTATTCTTGTCAGCTTCTTGGACAGGAACTGTTGTCATTTCAGGGCCTGGCACACAGCAGCTAGGCTGCAGATCACAATGTTCACTTCATACAAATTATGCAGGGAAGCAAACTCCCTGTGTGTCAATCTGTTTGAGACAGTGAGGACTGAAGACTAAAAGGCAATAAGAAACTCAGGATCAACTAACTGTTCCACGAGAAGCCTAAAAAGGAGTAACATAACCTTGGTATTTTGCAGGAAGAGACTAAGCAAGGAAATGAAAAAAGGTCTTTCAGTTTAACCACTCCCTACAAACAACCTTTAGCCCAGACTGGCAGCTCTGGTTAAGGGCAAGAAACGTAGCTGATATGGTTTGAAGCTGGTTCCCTGCCAAGTCTGCAAAACCTCACCACACGGACTCCCCCCACCGCCAAACCAAAGGAGAAGAGGTTAAAAAAAAAAAAACCAAGAGAACCAAAACGAGAGAGAGGCAGCTAAAGCAATACATATAATTATATTTACACTTATATTACATTTATATACAATTGAAAATATATGTATAATTTCAAAAGGAAAAGGGAAAGGGAAGGGGGAAGGGAAAAAGGAACACAAACAAAATAAAATATACAAGATCAATAGCCCAAGATCTAGCAACTAAAAGAATTAGCAAAAAAAAAAAAATCTTACTACTCTCCTTGGGGCCACAGAAAGTCGCGCTGAAACAACCGCCAGCAACCTCCATCTCCCAAGGTCGGCGAGGCCTCACGAGGCCTCACTCCCCAACACGACAGACTCAACAGCAGGGAAACCTGCACCTCAAAGCCATTGGAGGGAAAGAGGGAGAAGGCCTCTCCTCCTTTCTTCTTATACCCTGGTTTACGTAAAAATCATAGGGAATACCGGGTAAATCTGGGCACTTCCTTGGTTACAAACTAGTCACCAAGGAAGGCCTAGACTAAACTACCACAGTGGCACACACTGCTCTGCCATGAAGGAAAATGAGACTTTGAACGGATTTTAAATAATTTCCTCCCTCTTGAAGACTCCTGTTTAGCACTGTGTAATACAAAGAAAACAAATTACAACACAACTGTTCTATGGAACAATCTCCCCCATTCAGTGAAACCTAGTTTTTGACACACACCAACGCTAAATTTTTGGACATGCCTGTTGAGTTTATTAACCTTGAAGGTTAAGTGGAAGGCAAGCAGTTATGAGCAAGTACTGATGACAGAGTGAATCCTTTCTGTTCCATAATAAATAAAAGAATAATGAGAACTGAACTTTTTTTCAAAAATGTCCTGCCATAGCTGTGAATATTAACCTGAAGAAAAGATAATGAGACGTAAAAAAGGTCCTTGTTCTGATAAAGGAACTACCTGTCACCTCTAAAATAAATCTGCCCTCATGGAAGAAAATGCTAGAAAAAAAAATTTTATGCCTCTATTGAAGACAGGTATCACAGAAAGAACTTTTAAATTAATAAAAGGGAAACAGAAAATACAAAATCTGTGTTCTAAAATGTCATTAAAACAGTAGATTCATCTTAGAAAATGTTTGCATAATATGTATATGTAGTTATATAGTATACATACTCATGTATCTTTCAGATGCAAATCCACACAAACTAGAAAATCCACGATTTATTTGTGAATATTTTGAGGGAACTTCACAGGAAACATAAATCATCTTGTAGCAAAATTTGCAAGAAAGCAAAAAGGACAAGCCAGGAAAAGCTTTTCTTGTCTCCAAAGAAGCAGTTTAGTACAGTAGACTCCTAACCATCAGTGGCTATAGTTACAGAAGTAAAGTCTGTGATACTTGCATGAATGTGCAAAAAGGGAACCTTAAAAGTTTTTAAAAAATTACTATTTGGGACTTCAAACTTCTGAAGGTAGGAAATCTATTTCTTATTTTTAATATTGAAAGATATGAGAATATATAATTGATAAAACTGATTAATTTATAGTTTCTACCTGACAAAGGGCTGAAGAATATATCTTTTCATATGGTCAAGAAAAAGAAACATGTTGAAACATTTACTTGAAAGGGAATGGGGGGAAGCACCATGAACGTATAAAAACAACTAGACAATAATGTTTAACATATCATTTCTTTAGTAGAAGATAATTATATTCTAAAGATAAAGAATAATGAAATACATTTTGTATATACATTAAGGAAATAAAAGTGTGAAATAATTTATTTGCCAGTACAGAATGGGGTATACACCATGAAATGGATTTTTTAAATATTTTTTTCCACATAATATTAGCAGTGCAATTGTTTCTGAGTTTAACCTGCCAATTAAGTTACATTATAGCAAAACTGCTCAAGACTGGAATAAAAATAGAATTTTAAGGCAGAAACGTCTCCACCATTTCAAAATCAGTATTGTAAACAATAGTTTGACATTTTTGTGATGCTGAATAATTATAGTTTCTGGATTACTTTCTGGAAGAAACAATAATAACACCTTAAAATACTGTTTTAAACTATGGCAGTGAAAAATTCAGTTGTATTGCTGCTTACACTTTGTATTTGATGGCATTTTGTCCACATTAGGATGGCAAATTAAATTATTTTCTTATTGTTTACAGCAAGTTTTTCATTTACATTGTCTTTGCTATTTAATTTTGGTATCATATACTGCATGGAAAAGTATTCTGAAGTATAATTTTTCCCTTACAGAAACATTTAGTATTCAGACATTTTATTCGTTTTTTAGTCTAAGACAACACTTAAAAACTGGTCCAAGGTTACAACAGTGGTGTTTCTTTGTTTTGGGAGTGAATATTATATTTTTGGACACACTCAATAATGATTTTTTAAAGAAAATACACATTTCCTGTAAGTTAAGGTTATTCTTAAATCATGGCAACTGTTGCGTATTAATTCCCTCAGGATCAAAAAGAGATAAAACTTCCATACAATATATGCAGTTCATATTTTTCTAGGATTTATTAATAAAAATTATCTTTTGCAATTACATCTTATAATTTCTTTAAAACCAGGCATTTATTATAATTCTGCACAGTGAAAACAATGCATTCTAGTATACTTTCATATTCAAAGGTATCTGAGGCACAATCCACTATTACATTTTTATCAGAATAATAAAATGATTAATCATTAGACAGATCACTAATTTTTTAGAGAATTCAACAAAGCATTTTTTGTTTCTTCTGTATGCCATGATAGCACATAAGAATTTGTCCATCCCCCTGCCTCTATTGATAATCATGTATTCAAGTTTGCTTCACCTGAGCTAAAACTCTTGAAACATTTTATTTCAGGAATAATAATAATAAAATGTCTACTTGCTATGGAGAAATGGTCTCTGGTATCCTTTTCACACAATTCTTTTCCTTAGTGACCTAAGTCCATCAGTGATTGAGCCTGACAACTTCCTTGCCTTGTTTTGGAATATGTGTTCTTGAAAAACAAGCTTATGAAGTAATTCATGCAAGGGATGAGGCCTCACCAACTATCTGGTGAGTCTCCCCATGCTTTTCTTTGAAATAAAGGGCATCATGACAGCCAAAGGAGGAGCAGAACCTATAAACAACTCTAGGTATTTGATAGAGAATTATCCTTGTTAGTAAAAGACAGCTAGCAACTTGAATCATCTGTTAGACTGAGTATCCAAAACCAGAATTGGAAAGCTGACTGCCTGTAGGTCTAGCACTTGTTGCTCTAGATGAAGCTTCCATGTTACAGATGCAATAGCCATAAATAATCAGTGAACTGGATCGCCCATTCTCTTCTCCTAACATGAGAAAAGCAGGTTGTCAAACAACAGTGGGTAAACGTGTAATGGGATTTCAACACCCTTTCTACAGTGTGGTTCACATAGCTTTTCTGCTTGATAAATATTTTCCAACTATAATAACTAAAAGATATTAAAAAACCAAAACAAAATGAAACAAAAACCAACCTGCTTCTATGGGAATAATGGCATTTCATGATGTTTGGTGGCTGGCAGTGTAATGTTGAATGTAGTATCATGTCTCCAATTATCATATAATACGAGACCAGATAGGGATTTGCCTAATTGTCTCAAGATGCTTTATAGTGAAGTACTTCTGCTGCTCTCTCTTCTACCTGTTTTCAAAAGTGGAATCTGGACACTGAAACTTCATACCTAACAGTGAGTCACTGCTCGTCAGTCCTGAAGTAAATTACAGGAGATAAGTTTTCTTGGAGCATTTTTCTAGGATTATCTAATGTTTGAAAGACACTTACACTTAAGGTTTGGGTTTTTTTTGTTAGACTGAACTACAGAAAAATGAGATACATTTCAAGGGGCAGCCACTGAAGTCAATCTAGTTAACCTACAACAATGTAGGTAATTTCTAAAAAGCAGTATCCTAAAGAGTGCTAGTAATGCACATGGAATAGAACTGTTCTGCATTTATTTGAAATTATATGGTAAATCAGATTAAGGCATAACTAAAATCCAAGCAATAAATTTATCCAGCCAGATTTCAGAAATAAGCCTAATAAGCTCAGAGAAGGAACAAAAAATGAAGATATTATTTTATCTAGTTCTCTTAATATATACATCTTTAGATTTTTCCAAATTAGAATCCCTTAGAGTTCCCTTCTTTGAATATCCCCAAACAATACAAAGTTGTAACCTTTGCCTACTTGATGTGTAGGTTGGCTGAAAAAAGCAAATCCTAGTGTTTTTAATATATTTAAACTAAAATTCTTCTAGATATCCATGGAAATAAAAGTTGACCATCACTATCACAGTCTACAGAAGCTCTGTCAGGCACTGCAATGGGGCCAGTACACGTTTCTAACTGAAGGTGATGTACCTCATTA